GTGTGCCTGCTGCTAGCAAGATGGGGCTGACATTAACATGGCACTCATAAAACAATCAGAGCAGTGAAGCCCTCAAACAGACAGGGCATAGTAATATTTAATAAAAGCGCACACATAATCTTCAGAATTAGCATTTTGTGCCTTGCAGTACCTTTGGGAGAAGAGCTTTTATTTGTGGAGTGATCATTATTATAACAAAGAAGAGCTACCTAATAATTTCCACTTTAACTCTGCAATATGCCACGAGCATTTCTGAACCATTATGCTAAACTGTGGCGGGGTAATCATTTTATTGTCACAGATTGAAGGAAGAAAAATCCCCTGTATATCAGTAGCTAGGGGAGTATGGCAACACAGGATCACACTGACACACAGAGCACACAACGGAAAACTTTTCCTTTTTGCTACCCATGTGCTGAAGTTGGTACCTACCATCCTTTGTATGAAAGGTGGTAAGATTTTAACAATGTATATTCTGAGAAAAGATGAAGATTTCAAAAGAACATTGTTTCCCTTGAAAATCATTAGGGTTTTCACTCATAAATCCTTAAAATGTATCGATACAGACCTTACCTTTGAAGTCAGTTGGCAAAATTCCCATTGGCTTCAATAAGTTTGGGATTGCAGTGCCTCCCTCTAACATCTATATCTGTTAACTCAACTGCAGGAGCAGCACAATGAAACATGTCAGATGTTAACACTGATTTGCCTTGATATTATGCAAAGAAGGAGAGCAGCTCATTAAGACTCATAACCGTTAGGCCATTTCGGCAGGTGGAGGATGTGGCCACATCACCTTCAGCAAGGAGCTGCAAGGTCCGTACCTGCAGTTGGAGGGGTAATACTTAGTTTTTCCTCAGTCCAATGACTGTTCTGAAAACATGCAGTGAATGTCATTTACTAACGCCAAAGAGTCTTAAAATCTTATCTGACAGTTAGGCTACCAAACTCTTTTGGTTCTGGTTGTAGTTGGCTGCCAGCTGTTCATTTAAAGAACATGTTTATATGTGTAAGAATGTGTAATTATTCTTTTTTATTATTTCCCTGGGCTTAAAGTCCATTCATGTTATCAATCATGTACACTCCACTGCCTTTATTAGAACTGGTCTAAAGTCCTTCACTGCATTTTTTTTTTCATCAGTGAAGTTTCAGACTTCAACTAAAATCTCTTTTTCTACAGAAAAACATAATTTTATGTAACTTTTTTTTATTTGCTTTAAAAACATCATTTTAGAAATGATGCTTTGGTGTTACAGAAGGTCATGTGAAGTGATAATATTTTGAAAGAAAATATTTTGGTTTTCTTGGAAATATTAAAAAGTGTTATAGTTAATTCCAGATAGAGATTCTGGAACTTTGCATTCTGAAAAAAAAAATGTTCTGTATTTTGGTTTCTCTTGTGACCAAAACAAAATGTAGAAAAATCAAGGTCTCCAATGAAAAGATTGTTCTGCCTAGTTCTGTTTTTCTAGGGTTGCACAGAAGTAAACACCTTCCAGACAGTGCTTTGAAAGTTGCCAGATGATTAACAGAAGAAGTATGAAGAGCTGAGGGCCTGAGCTGGCCAGACATTTGTACCAGGGGCATAAACAGAGCTGAGGTCATTGCCTTGCCCCCCTCCCAACGTTACCTGTGGGGATGCTGGCAGATGGGACTCGGTTCTTCCATCCTCCTTCCTGGTGCTCCAAGGAAAGAGCCTGGGAAGTACAAAGTTTTAGTAAGACCAGTGTCCCAAATGACACTGGCTGTTGCAAATATGTCATTGTATAAACATGTTCTGTGCCTTCAAAAACAGGTAGCAGCCTGGATGCCTCCTTCAGCACGTCTCCTCAGGCTTCCTCGGGGTGCAGCCCTTCAGTGCAGCTTCCCTTGTGGGGCAGCACCTTTGTGCAGCCATTCCAGTCTTTCACAGACACTTGCATTTTAAGATAAGAGAAACTGCGTGGGCAAAGTAGAGAAGTCCCACTGGCTTTTGTGACTAGTCCCAAGGGAAAATAATGCCCTGAAATCCTTTGGGAATGCACAACTTTCTTGCTGCTTTTCAGGTAGTGCCCACAAAGGGTACAACCTGCCCTGCTCATTAAACCACCGAGTCCTGACTTCTCCTCAGACAAGACGTCCTGGGCTATTGCTGGCAGTTTTGGTGAGGCACTGATTCAGAACAATTGCTCCATATTTAAATAAAATTACACGTGGGAATGGTCACATTGACGTTTCAGGCAAGAATGTCCCAGTGAACAACCCACAGCGCCAGCGCAGCACAAGGACCTGAGTATCTGCTCGAAGTCCCCCTGGCTGCCATGGCACTTGGCATGTGTTTGACATTAAGCACATACATGTATAAAGTATCAGAATCGAATACATGAGGCAGCACAGACAGTGCAGCACCTTGCACTTCTGAGTGCAATGTAGGTTCCACAAAGAACATTGCGAGATAAATTGACAGACCTTTAGCGGGGACCTGTAACTACAGAACAGTATCTTGCATTCATTTTAAAGATGAATTGAATCTATAATTTTGAAGCCTGCATATGTTTTCTGTTAATGGCTTATGGTCTCAGTTTTTATTCATTGGTATTTAGGAATAAAAAATGTTGCTTGTAGTCTTTAAGAAAAGTAGCTCATTCTCTGACACATGGGAAACTGATTATCTTCAGGTTTTATTGTGGGGGGCGTGTGTCCACAATCAACTGGAAATACTGGAAAGGGTGTAATTTAGAAGTGATTTTAATTTTTATTTATGAAAAAATTTGATTTCGTGATAGGGCTAGATAGCATTTTGAAAAGCTGCTTTTACTGTAAATCTATTGCTGTGAGCTCAGCTGAAAGGCAAGCATTTGGTTTTGGACTTTGCAATGGTTTTTATGCACAGTTTTATGCAAGTAACTTGAATCCAAATTAAACATACTGAAGTTACTTCTGTGTGTGCGCTACATTTTCGTGATGGTAATGTTAGGATGTTTCTTTTGTTAGCTCATGTAAAAGTTAATGGCTGTGCTCTGCCAAGTTTGAAGTAGGGTAATGATTTTTTTCTGCCTGTGTTTGTGTTTTTCACTGGAGCTGGCATCCCCATCAGCTTAAGTAGTGGAAAAGTTTGTGCCTGACACTTACAACCTTTTGTAGGTAGGGACGGGGTCTGTTTGCTCCCGAGGCATGCATTCCATCACCGGTGGTGTGAGTCTGTAGCAATGCCCACAGAAACACTCACTGCTAGGGGTGACTCAACAGCTCCTTTTCCAGCTCCCCTCCTGCTTCCCAGCTCCACGCCCGCCCGCCCTGCCCAGGGGCTGAGGGGAAGGAGCTCCTCACTAGCCTCACTGACTTGCAGTTAGCTCCAACTGACCAGAACTTCGCTACATAATCATAAAGACACACAGGGTCTCTTTAGTGCTCTATGTCTGGAGCATTTTGAAGTAGGCTTCTGTAAATGAATTAATTTTCTGTCTTTATAATTAGGAGAGTGTACGGCAGGGGCTCTGCCACTACACAGCCATGTTAAGTAATTCATGGGTGCAAGGGTGTTGTGGATGGTGCATGGCTCTCACACCCCTGTCTTCCTAGTAAGTCCTTGCCTGATGAAGTGCCTGAGTGTTCTCCCTTGAGTATATCTTCAAATACTCAGTTACAAACCAAATTAACAGATCAGCCAGCCTTTCAACCAAGTAGCAATTCACAGCCAAATGCATGACAAAGTCCTGCTGATTGACGTTGCAGAATCAGTGTGGGCAATGGCAGCCCTTCATGAGTTTTCAGTGGAGCCAGTGTTTTCTCTCTGCTGAGGTCTGAGCTCATATCTAAAGGAAAGAATCCTTCTTTTCAACATCGAGGTTGACTGGTGGAGTTTTGCTGCTCCTTAAGGAATCTGGTTTTTGTGGCTAATGAAATTGTTGCGATACCCACTTTACTTAAAATGTTACCTAATGGTGTGGTGTCATATTTACGCTTATGCTGTATTAGCAAGAAGTTGGTCGCATTTAGGATTGAGATGCTTCTTTTTATCAGCCTGTATGATGTTCCTGAGACTCCACAGAGACCTACTCAGGGCTCTGTGTCTTATTCAGGTTATTATTACAGTAATGTTATTCCTGTTGCTTCGCCGCAGTTAAATTCTGATATACTCCAGTACTGTAGAGGAGGAGAATCAGTATGTGGCTATTTATATTGCCCTATCCCACCAATATATATAAAGTTGTGCATGCTTCTGCTTAGGTAGTCTTAAACCAGAAGATCTTACATCAAGATCTGAGCTTACTACTTTGAGCAGTGCTTGAGTTTTCAACATCCCCTCAGGAAGCCCTTAGTACATACGATGCCAAGGAAGCGGCTAGTGAAAGCACTAGTGAAAGACTCTATGAGTATGGCAGAACACATTGCGCATGCTTCTTAATTAATTATCCAGTAAATGCAACGTAACTGGAGTAAGTAGATGATGGGGTTGTGGGTTTTCGTTCTGTATTTTTTGTGGCAGCCAATGCATTAAGCAGGGCAGGGTGGTTAATACTAGAACAACCTGGATCTGATTGCAGAATAAAGAAATGCTGAGAGTTACACCCTTTTTATTTAGCCAGTATTTTCCGTAATATTTATGGGAGTTTCCTTGATGAATTTAGGTTACGATGGATAATAAAGCAAGCTCGCTGGAGATTGTTTTATTAACTCAGGTATTGTGCATTTCATATAGAATAAAGATAGGGATTTGTCATGATTTCCAATTGGTCTCTGCCCATCATGCTGTGACTTTTTTGTTAATGTAGGCTTAACAGAAAGTTAATTTTTTCAGTGCAGATAACAAAACCAAACAGAAATTAATTGAGAAAAATGCTTCCAAAGATATAGTTTGAGGTCATGCACATGTACTAGAAAGAACGTGATTGCCGGAATCTTTGTGTTAGTAAGGGGGGAAAATGAAAGCTCCTTTTATTTTATTTTTCTCAAGTCTTCTATCATTAAAATCTGGTTCTAACAGCAGAATACTTCTCTTTTTCATGTGTGTTGAAAAGCAGCTACACCATGTATCAAAGCCATCAGTCCAAGTGAAGGATGGACTACAGGAGGTGCCACTGTCATCATCATAGGAGACAATTTCTTTGATGGGTTACAGGTCATATTCGGCACCATGCTGGTTTGGAGTGAGGTAGGTGTTGTCTGAACGGTAATGTCTAATAGCTTTGTCTAGCTTATAGCTAGCCTGTCCTTTTTCTATGCCACATGCTAAATCAGCAACAAATGTTGAGATGTGAATCCTTTCCTCATTCAGTTTTATGAAAATAATTAGTCAAATTTACCTGTGGCAGAAATCCATTATAGCCGGGGGATTTGCATCTCCTCTCACTGACCCAGAATTTAGCTCAGTGTCTTTTATTGAAAGAAAAGGAAAGGATAAATGCTTGTGAGAATAATTCTGCATTTAGCACTACAATAGCTAAGGGCCCACAGGAAACAAACGTTTAGGTGATCCTGCTTTCCAGGGAAACTGGCTGCTTGTAGCTGCAACTCAATGAGGTGGAGATTGCAGAAATTCAGCGCCTCTGAATAGCATATCCTTAAAGTGTAGGCGCTTGGTGTATCATTTTCGTAACAGCAACTGAATACACAGTATTGTATCCTCAGTGAAAAGTACAGACTCATCATACCTAGCGGCGTCCTCTGTAGTTTGGCAGTAACCCTTCTTTTTATTTCTTACCCATTTTTTGCTGTTCCTGTTCCTCACAGTTTCTTAAATCTTTTCTTCTCCTGACACATAATTAAACATGGAGTCTGATATTCCTGAAAAGCCCGTGGAAAGTTAAAACCCAGGCAGCATCACCTCTGGCCACTTCCAGTGCGCAGGGCTGTAGAAGTCAGGGCAGAGTTCCCACTGGCTTCACTGACACAGGAAGACAGCTCCAAGGAAAAGTTTACATTTTGCATTTATGGCTTTCCAAAAACATTTTGGAGGGTTTATAAGAAATTGTTAGTTTCATTATTTTAATACTGAAATAAATACGCTGACAGACAAACCAGCATCTCCAAAATAGCTACACAATGCTTATCCAGTGACGTAAGGACCTTCTAATGCTTTGCCTTATATCCTATAAATATTAAATCAACATTATAGCTTAATTCATCCAGCGCATTCCCCCTACTGATTCCATATGGCAGCATTTTTTCCGTATGAAGAGTATTCTCTAATGTCCTTCATGGGCTTCACTGTTCTCTTTCTCTCTCTCATCCTTCCACTTGAGGACAAGTGTGGATGAAAGGGCATTCCAGAGAAGGAGATATATTAAATGAGCCCTATTCTGAAGCCCTTATGTGATCATGAAAGTGCCCCCTGGGTCCAGTGTAAGCATTTTGTGTGTTAGGATTGAAGCCATTATGGCTACAGACATTTAATAGGGAAAGGTGAAGAGGCTGGGAGGAAAGTGCTCTGATTTTGGTAGTGCAGAATTGGATCTTTCATTATAAATCTTGATTCTATATATTAGTGGAAGCCATTAATTGGCAATTTCTAATCTCAGGAGAGTGAGTGCTGGTCAAAACATTGTTGCTGATGGTTGCAAGGCCTTGTCGTAAAATTAATAATGCTAAAGGGGTCCAGACCAAAGTCAGTCTGCTTGTTGTGAATGCTGTAACAGGCTGCAAGTTAACTTGGAGTGAAAACCGTTTCACTGTCTCTCCCTTACAGAATTGCTTCTCAGTTTCATAACTTATGAGAGCAATGGAAAATCCTATAGGGAAATTATTTCTAAAAGCAGCAGACAAACATGATAAACAAGTGCAGAAATGCATGAGCTGACTGATCCCTAAATAATGGTGATTTATAAATAACTTAAATTACACATACTAGCCACCTATGAAGTACAAAAGAAGTTCTTTCATTTGCCTTCCCATTTCTAAAATTGTCTAGCGCATTTTCAGTACCCAGAAAGAACATTTTTGTTTTAGTTTAATAGAGTGTAGACTTGGACTCTCGATCTTCTGAATTCCAGTACCATTTCAAACCTGGAGCAGGTTCATCCTGAGTTGCCAGTCAGGCCTGGTTTTAGGCAAACCTGGCCAGGTTATTTTGTCACTGAATTCAAGAATTTTCAAGTTGATCCTCTTGTTTCATGGATCAGAAGAAAACATGATTTTAACTGAGCTGCAGCAAATCCAGAACAAAACTAGATATGTGGAAACTAAAGGAAAAGATTTGAGTCCTGCAGAGCATTTTCACATGGATTTTTCTAGCTTCACTTTCAGTTATAATTGCAGGTGGTTTGGGGGATGAAGTCTAATATTTAAATTAAGCATCAGTTTGCCACAGACATTGCATGGAACCTTGGGCAAATCACATAATCTGCTTAAAGTTCAATTCCCTTTCTCTAACCTAGTAATAAGATTAGTCACCTTCTTTGGAGAGGTGCTGTGAAGATAATTATCGTAAAGGTCCTCTATTACTCAGATTTTATTATAGCAAAATCTATGTAAGTACCTGAAATGCATGGATATTTAAAGTATAAATCCTACCACAGTTCAGAAGCAAAGTTAAAAGCCAAAAAAAAAAAAAAGATTGTTCATTTTAAGGGTGAATTTGTTGCTGTCAAGCAGCATATGTTATAAATAATTTGAAATGTAAATAATATATTTTTAATTTATTTTACATGTATTCAAGTTTTGTAATTGAAATATTTATATGCTTGAAATGGAGTTGACTGTGTTAAAAAAGGAGGTTTAAAATGGTTTCTGAAACACATATTTATTATTTAAACATATATTTTAGCTGTAAACACTCTAACATAATTACAACCTTTCTCAGCCAGGGAGAACTAAATAAAAACTTAATTTGTCACATTAATTTTGTGCAGAAATGCAGATACCCTAAGCCAGTAGGTTCAATTAATCCTTAACTCCCATATTACTTTATAAAAATTACTTTAAAAGCCCTTGATATTTTTAGAATACAGCAAAATGGGCCATCTAATGCCTTTTTTTCAAGGGACTTTCATAACCGACAAACAAACAGCACTGGTATATCATGTGCACATGCTGAATCTGGACAGACAACTCCCAGCAAATAGTCTGTTTGCCAGATAGACTCTGCCTGTCTGTCCAGTCCACAAGCAGACGGAGTTGTTATTTGCAGGTTTTTACCCAGTATTCTGGGTCTGTGCATTGTTGCAAATAGTCCAAATCTGAACTGCTGATACAAATCCTCTGTTTCTCTCTCTTATTGAGGGGCTGAAACTCCGAGAGTCGAGTTTCAGGGCAAATAGACGATTGTGAAGACAAAATTAGTTTCTTATAAATATTCCACAATATTTGCTTAAAATGAACTATTTCTTCAAACATTTTCCTGCCAAGAACATTCCTCTAGCTGTACAGAGTCAGCTGGAAACAACTTCTTTTTCTTTTATATTAAGAAAAGATGAAGCACTGAAACATCAGGTTTTTTACCTTTGTACAGCATAAAAAAAAAAAAAAAGAGCATGATTTTTTGGTTTGGTTTAGGGTTTTTGTTTTGTTTTTTTAATGCTGCTGAATCAAATTCTGTGACAGTTTTTTTTTGCTTTTTGTGTTTATTATTGATTTTGGAAGTCTGTTTTTGAGTGCTTTTTTGGAGGTCTGACTCACTTTACAAAAATGAGTAGGCACCCTCTTTTTGAAAACCAAGGCTTATTAGGCAGGATCTGGATGCCCAGAATTGAGGCATGCAAAGTCACTGGTTGTTTTTTAAAATATAGGTACCTTAAGGGTGCTGTTCTCACTGCAAGCTGTCATTACCTTCAGTTGGAGGGATTTTTCTTCACTCCTGTCCTAATGGTCCTCCTCACAGAGTCCAAGTTAAATTTATGACTGATTGTCACCATTTCCCTAACCACAAACCAGAGCTCAAGCATGCAAAAATAAACTACTGACTCAGATTAATGACATCTCCTTATAAAATGTCACTTTTAAAAAAAGAAAGTAACCTGGCACTCTGAAGAGTGTGAAATGATGCTGTATCACACAAGAATGTCTAGAATATATTGGCAAACCACAGAAAGAGGCTTGTTGTACATACTCAAACCAAATGTGTTTTGGGTTTTGAAGGACATGCACCTCCCTTCATTCTGAAGATCTCTAACTCAGGTTTTAATGCAATCCACAGCATGTCCCAGCTGATATGTAAGAGTTTGTATCAAACAGCTAATGCAGTTGCCTAGCATCAGACCAAGTCACTTAAAAATCCCTTGGGAGAAAGTGTCCAGTTACTAGTTTTATGTCCAGTTCTAGATCTCAATTTGCCAAATGCTGGAATGCAAGAGAAAGCTGGATCTGGGATTCTGGCTGGTGGTTCATGTCCAAATCACAGGTTAATGCCTTGCTCAAGATTTACATTTTAAAAATGTGTTCAGAAATGTACATAACTGATATTTACAAATTCTTAGTTCTTGGCATGTCATTGCTGCGGTTGTTATGATGTCTGTTAATGCACCAAGAGTTCCCACCTGAGGTTAGAACATACAAATGGCCATACTGGGTCAGACATAGAGGTTTATCTAGCTCAGGATCTGGCGTTTGGTGGTCAGCAATGACAGAAGTCTGTAAAAACAGGGTGAGCATGTTGTGATGCTTCCCCAGAACACACCACCAGTCTCCCAGCTGTTTGGGGCTCAGAGGCTTCCTGAAGTGGTGTCTTTACTTTTAGTATCCCTTGATGCTAATAGCTCACCTCTTCCAGATGCTTTGCATGCAAATATGAGACAGACTGGGCCTTGAAGAAGGTATAGGCTGTCAGGGTGAGAGGAGAAAAAATTCTAGGAAAAAGTGGAGTGAGTTCCCAAGGTCAGGCCACAGGTTGACAGTGTAGACAGGAAAACATCCCATGATCCTGCAGTTACTGAAGTCAGGGGCAAATTTGCTTTTGCTATGGGTGGGCCTTGAGTGCCCAGACCCATGCAGCACCCATTGGGTCTCTCAGATTGTACAATGGAGTCGGGGCAATTCAAAGAGCTGGTCCTGGTCAGTTCCCTGGGAGCACTGGGGAATCAGAGTTCAAGACCAAAGGTGGGATTCAGAGGGCAAATACTGAAGTGCAAGGGGACATTTTTTGTCCCTTAAAGACAATTTATTGCTAGGATGTCAATATAGGGGACTACTGGTATGTAACTGAGCTAGCCAGTTCCTTTCTGTGTGCATGGGAACTGAAGGCTGACCCAGAACAAAGGTCCCTCTAGCTCAGCACTATGTCCCTGACAGTGGTCAGTGGCAGATGCTAAGGAGAAAAAAGCAAAAGGAAAAGGCATGTGTATTCTCCTGGTATACCTCCCAAGCTTTAGTTCTAGAGAAGAGAGGAGTAAAATATATCCTGAGCATCCTAAACCATAGGACTTCAGACATAATGTTCACCCTTTGGGAATGTGTGGGCGACATTATTGTATATTTGTGGTTTTAAACACAGTTAAACTTATTTACTTCAGAGCACAAAGGAAAACCAAACTGTTTGTGGAGAACAAACCAGGAAACTTGCTTAACTCTCCCCAGCTCTCTGTAACAATGGACCATAAATAGGTCAGACATTTCTTGGGAACCAGGGAAGATGAGTATTGGAAAATGCCACAAATTATGTTTAAAGAACATTAAAGTGGTGACAGACCAGTAAATGCTGGGAAATTCAAAGATACAACCAGAAGCTGCCTGTATGGCTCATGCCAGAATGGGGGTGAGGGGTGCAAGGCACATGCTGATGTAGTAAGACTAGCATGTTAATCTTTACTATTAAAACCCTTGGCTGTTTTTACAAATATTTCCTCCCTAAATATGTCATGAAACTGTTCTCATCTTGCCAGTTCACCCAGTTAACTAGAACCACTTGAGGATGGGATTTATCTCAGCTGTGTTTGGCTGCCTACAGTTAAGCATCTAGTTTAAACTTGTCATCTTGGTTCACTGCAGAAAGGTAGATGCTTCCAGAGAGCAGCTCATCCCTACACGGGGGGTGTCTAAAGCACTGGAAATAAATTGCTATTTGGCAGTGCTTTCTGCTTCCACTGACTATTGAGGGCATGTAGGGAATATTTGGTGAGCCCAACGGTAAGACAACTCGATTTAAGTAAAAGCAATCCTTGGAAGTTTGGGGTTTGGTGGTTTGCTTGTTTGTTGTTGGGTTTTGTTTTGTTTTTTGATTTTATTTTTTTTACCCAGTTGATAAAGTGAGTAGGAAAAAAGGCAGGTTTATTTTAAAAATAAGTAAGTTTCTAATCATGTGATTTCAAAGCAGAGCCTGAAACCATGTTCTTTGGAGCTCACAAACAAGAAGGCATCAATTCCTACATGATAATTTCTAAAATGACATATGACATGACTTTTGTGGATCTGAATAACTTCTGGAGCATTTGATTATGGTAGTTTTAGTTTTAATCTTCAACTTAATATTAATTTTCTTATTTTAAATATGAAGAACTTTCTACTATGTATGCAGTTCCCCTCAGTAACACAGATGGCTCTCAGACAGACATTACTCTCCTGTGCTTTTTTAGTCCTCTGCCCTAAACAAAGAACCAGTTGAAAGTCTGATTTTTGGTAGGACCTTACTACAATTTTGAAATATTTGGTTCCTAGTAAAAATAAGAATAAAATTAGCTTTATATTAAAAAAAAAAAAAAAAAAAAGCTGTTGAAAAGTATTCCCTAATCCAGAACACAATTCAGCCACCAGCATAGAGCAGTTGAGTGTCTGCATAGGATGCCCGTGGCTTTGCCCACTGTCAAGGCTGGTTATGGTTGTGGTCTTTTCTGCCTCTCTAGAAGCATGTTAATGTGCCACAATCAGTTAAAGAAGAATTATCTATATTCCAGAGCTGTATCTTGGTTGTTGGACACAATCATCTCACCTTTTCTCTGTACCTCTTTTTTTACTATTCTTGTCTGAGGGAGCATAGTGAGTGAGGACATTTCAGCGATGGGGAGGACAATGTTGTAGTTTCTAAGTGCAGCGGAGATTTGAGTTAACCTGCCATAAATTGGTGAACTCCTAGATGTCTCTAATGTTAGTTTCAGGAACTGTGTTTTAAATCCAGTCCAGAATCCTGAAAGAGCAAAAATGGTCTGGAGCCTGGAAACTGCAGCGCTGACCCACCCCAACCTTTTATGTAAGAGATCAGGATCCCCAGCCCCAATAGCAAGAAAGTTAAGTTTGTCTACTTATTACTGTGTAAATCCACATCTGCAGAAGCCCTCTCAGATGTGTGTCAGTCATTGCAGTGAAGGCAGACTGGAAATGACGGTTAGATGGTTCTGTGTGGTATATCTCTTCTGAGTGCTCTGATCATAGGTAAGGAAAGATCCACCATCCTTCAGAAGCCAAACTTTGCATTTCTGCAATAATCAGTGATACCTCCACGAAATGAATAGAAAATCAAAACAGCAGCACATGGTGCTTTCACAGTGTGGGGATGTCAGCTGGAGACCAGTGCGTTTAAAAGCAGTGAATCTCAGCCCCGGCTTGTGCTGTGCCGTGTTCACACATGTAACTGCGTGTCATTTATCAATCAGATTTGTATGACACTGTCATGACCCCAGTGTTCATCTGAGCAAACATAGGCATCCTGCTGCTGTAAGCTAAAGTTATTGCATTAAACCAGGGTTAATGCTCGTACTAGGAAGCAAGTGCCTGCCATGTATGAAAACAGAAATAATGTTGTTACGGCTGAGAAGGAGAATGCTTGTAAATATTGTAGTCACTGGCTTTTGTGTGGGTTACATCAAGATTATATTCAAACATTGACAGGTTAATTACATGTTTCAAAGCTTGTTTACTGTGATCTGAGAGGAAAGTGTTACTAAAGAAATGCTCAGCATCTAACAGTGCTTTTTTTCCCTTTCTTCTCCCTCCTCAATGTTTTCCTCTAGCTGATTACTCCTCATGCCATCCGCGTACAGACGCCTCCCCGACATATCCCAGGGGTTGTAGAAGTCACATTGTCCTACAAGTCTAAGCAGTTTTGCAAGGGAACGCCTGGAAGATTCATTTACACAGGTAAGGATGCTTTAGTACTACATATAACGTGGAGAAATAGGACAGGCAATATATCACACGTGCTAAGGCTTCTGCTTCCGTCATTAAAAGCTGTACTGTATTTTATTATTTTTGCTGAGCACGTCATTGAAGGTACCAATTTAAGGTTGGTTTTCAAAAAGGGATGACTATAGAGATGTATTTGAAAACATACCAGTGTGGGATTTTTGTTTGCTTATTTGTCCTCGCAATGGGACATCTCTTTACCCAGGAGGGGGGGAGGAAGGAGAGAAATAGATACTCCAGTACTTAAACAAACAGAGGAAGACTGCAAGCACAGAGAGCTAGACATACTAGTGCAATCACAAACCTGCCTTCCAAGAAGCATCTTGCTAAATATCTCCATCCCATGTTGCCCGCTAAGTGTTGCAAGCGTTCACAGTAGCAGTCTGCCAGCCCATCTCAGCATAACATACTTGTCTCTGACTTCCAGGGAGGCTCAAGTAGCTTTCACCCCAGATGATGCTCCAGTCATAGTGGCTTGCAGTGTGTTTTGGGGTGGAATCCCACACTGAGAATGGTAAATTGAGTGGTTTACCCTGAAGAATTATTAACAAAAAAACCCACTAGGACATTGCACGTGCTGTCCATGTTAAACCACTCTCACTAGTGATAAGAATGGCCTGTGAAATAAATCAAGTCACAGCCTAACTTTTTAAAAGAATGTGTGTCATTGATTCCTTGGAAGATAATGAATGCTACAAGAATTAATGGCTTGGTCCAGGTTTTGATGTGCTTGTCGTTTTATGAGCTTGTCATTCGACATAAGCAGACAGGACTGCTTCTGTAACTCTTTGCCTCAACTGTGGTTCATCACAATACAGTGCAATTCCTTTCCCTATTCGTGATTGCCCCTGAAACTTTAAGAGTAAGATATAGCACAAATACTTGTGGCTATGAGGCTTTCTGAATTACACTGGACACATATATTCATCCAACTGTGAATGTACGCACAGGGATTCAAGGCAGAGGAGAAACTTCTGTGCTCTGGCTGGGTGGCAAAGCTCTCATTTGATTTTTCTTACACTGAGCAAGTTGAACAAAAGTGCCTTATAAAGCTTTGTTGTCTTTTTCAAATACCCTCTCCCCCAGTTGAGAATATGCACTAGGTTTCTCTAAACTGGGTCTTCAAGTGTTCATGTCTTGCTGGCTGAGTGGCAGACACTTATGTATTTATTGTGAGCATTATGTTCAAGAGTGTGTAGGAAATTCATATATTGGCCAATAACGCACCATATCAAAAAAAGCTATTTAGGGCTTCTATGTGTTGGAACAAAAGAAAAAGAAAAGGGTCAAATTGCCAGGTGGTACAAATTGCCAGTGTATAGTGCATGAAAAGTGTCAGCCAGAGCTCTGGATAGTCTGACCATGAATCCTTTCCCATCTCACTTTCTTGCAATAAGTCGTGCTGTCCTGCTGTTGTCAAGCCACTGGGGTGACTGCATCTGGGGCTGGTGAAATGGCAAGTATGCATGCAGCAGAAGAAAGGGAGGAAACCTGCCCCCCTCAACTTTGCGAAGAAATTGTTGGAGACTTCATTTTGCGATTTAAATGTAAAAACGGCTTGGAGCCATTTTGGTTTTGCTTTTCAGATCATCATTAATTAGCTTTTCCAGTAAAAAGGAGGGCGGCAGTTTAGCCTGTCTGCCCAGAAGCAGATGGCTGAATGTGGAAATAAGGTGTCCCAGTAGGGAGAGTGTTTCCATATATGCTTTTTTCAGGTTAGTGTTTAAAACACATTATTTTTCATTCAATAAATGAAAGCTACAAAATACTAAACAGTGATAAAATCAAAGGTGATCCAATCCATAGACAATTCTCTTACTTGTGCAGCTTTTATGGAGTTACGGTAGATACAGAAAAGCTATTGTGACTGAAATTGTACCTCACACAATTTGCATTTTCCTTTTAGAGGCAGCCTGAACTTAAATGTGGCTTTTTAAAAAGGACTAAATGAAACTAAAATAAAAACAATTAATGCATCCTGACCTTCAGAAGTGCCTTCCAGCCCTTTAAACAAAATGCAGGTTCAGTACACGCCTGCCGATTAGTTTTAGTTAATTGAAAATTATAGGATTGACCCAAGAGGAAAATTTTGTTTGCACTCCAATCACTTTTACAAATTAAGGAAAATTACCACAATTTTGTTTAGCTAAGGTTTCACACTGAGTTCACGAAATTAGCTCAGCCATCCCAACAAAGTCAGCACTTTGTTAGTGAGCACTAGAAAAAAACTAATAGTCTATGGTGTGTACAAACGAAGCATAGAAAAAGCTATGATGCTTTAGAGAACTAGGCCAAGTGTTTTTAATTAGGATTATTGGTTCATTGTAAGTTTTGAAGAACAATCAAACTAGCAGATTAGCTGTTTCTTTTAAAGCTAGAATTTCTTGCCATTCATTTTTCCCATGAGAACTTGTTTTAACTCCCACATAGCACTATTTTTTTCTTTTTTTTTTTTTTTTTTTTTTTTTTTTTTTTAACAAGGCCTGCAGGAAATGGACCAATTGGAAGTTGGGATACAGTAACATTCCCCAGCATCACTCCAGCCGATGGGAGTTTTTCACAATGTTCTTCAGTGAACTCAGTGTTCTGGAACATATTACAAAACCACAGAGGCCAAATGTTTTCTCAGAGGAGTTTGGCCTCTGTTTTTGGCCGAAAACATTTCAGCATCACTTGCTGCTTATTTACCCTGCTATTAAGAACAAGAAAACGAGAGAGGAGAAAAGGGGAAAAAAAAATAATAAAAGAGAGTGTGTGAGAGAGAGAGAAAGAGACCTGGGGTTTGTGGGCGGTGCAGGAGTTGATCAAGCGTAGTTTCCTTTCTGGTGAGAATGTCCCGGCTCGTTAATGGTCCCATTTTGTGGTCAGGTCTCATTTAGAAGAAATTATTTTTAATCAGTGTTCAACAAAATATCCCCTCAAGCCACCTGGCTGTAAACTGTTTTTTTCTTACTGTTAAGTACTTAAGTTCTCAGAAGAAAATACCCAGTGACCCATTAATTTTAGCCTTTTTTTCCCCCTTTAACTGCAAATAACTTAGTAACATGATCTCCAAGTAGTCCATGTGCCATCTAGGAATCAAGGTCACGTATATACAGAGAAATCCTGGCTTTTGTAAGTATTTTTGAAAGAAATAAGCCAGTGTCAACCCTGTGCTTACAAGAAGACATAAGTTTTTTTTATTTTCCATCTGCAAAGCGAGCCACTAGCATGCACTTACAGAGCAATTATTTCTGAGATTTTAATTTTGACATTCCTGAGAGAACGTTATTGGAAATACAGAAATTTAAACACAACTTGCATATGTGTTCATTTTGGAATAATATTAAAAGTCCATATTGCACACAGAAATACCCAAACACGCTGGTCTGTATTTCCCTATGGCACCCTTCATCTGTAAGTCTCTTCTGGTACTGAGGAGCGTTGAATGAACCAAGTTTCATGTCACAACTGAGAAGTCATGTATGTATCACTACCATTATTTTAGGACTGGAGAAACTGAGATAAAGGAAGAAGCCATTAGGGATCTAAATCTGTAGGTAGTTTGCCAAGGTGACTCAGGACATACATGGTTAAATAAGGGGTGAGAATTGGCACAAACATGTGATACCTGGACAAGCCTTTGAGATTTTGTTTTCATTTAATTTTTTAAAAATGTATGCATCATGGACAGCATGATTTTCACAGATGAATTTTGCCATGGTACTAAACTGTGAGATTTGAGTGGGACTGCATGAATGTAAGTGAAAGGATAATTTATCTCACTGCATATTGGAAAGGACATATGGAAGGTCTGTAAAAATGCATTATGCTGTATCTTCTGCCACCTGCTCAGTTTAAGGTTTTGTGCTTTTGTTCCCAAACTAGAGCAAATGACTACATAGGGGCCAGAAGAATATAGCTTTGTCACTAAGGTTATGTATACAACATGGGGTTAATCAGATTCTAGGCTGAGCAGTACCCCAAATAATGTTCCTTTTTTAAAAAAATTGGTTACATGGTTGGTTAGAGTTTGGAATTTAGGGACCATTTTCATTTGCATTAGTCTTGCAGGGAGGCTGCAGGCTAAACCATTTGTGTGCTGACAGAGTACCTAAAGAAACAGGCAAGTCCCCCCCAGTTCACTTGGGGTTTGTTATAAGCTGTGGGATATATAGAAGTGCTACTAGCAGGAATAGGTGGATGTAGGGTCAGCGCAGACACACGGGGCTTGCTGTGCAGTGTGAATAACGCAGATGCTGAGCACTGATCCTCCAGAATAATTGTGACGAAGGCTGAGTAGGTCAGAGTGGAGCGCTGCCGAGACTGGCCAGTGTTTGTGTTACAATTTTGGGCCATTGTGTGTAGAGTGATGTAGAAATTCTAGCACTGTGAAGGTCAGGATATTTGCAGAATTTCTGGGAAACTGCCTCTTTCTCTGAAATGTCATAGGCCTTCTCAGAGAACTTTTCATTCCCCTGGTTGTTGCAAAGAAGAACTAACCTCATGTGGAAAAATCCCTGCTCCATCCTCATTTCACCCTTTATTTACTTCGGAAAACATTTGAGTCTGTATACAAACAGGAAGAGCCTTCCAGATCACAGATGATTTGGGTAACATTTTCAAAAGGCTCGGGTTTAGGTGGCTTCATTTTTAGGTTTTTCTCTTTAAATGGGTTAATTTATAGAAGCACATGGGTAGTCATCTTCTGAGAATTATTCTTTTTTAATTTCTTAAATCAAATACCTCCAAGAGTAAGAGACTACCCATAACCATGTAAAATTTCAGTCCATGGCCCTAGAAGCAGAGGTTTAAGTCATGTACACAGATCTGATCAGCACTGGAACCACTTAAAAGGAGATCTCCAGTCCCTAAAGTTTCCAGCCTGGTAGACTTCAGTGATTCCTTTGCTAGGAAAATTTTCTGCTTTCAGGAAGGCACCAATAACTATGCAATGGTCAAAAGATACGTAACCA